GGAGGATACGTGCACGGCAACACTGAAGGAGGATACGTGCACGGCCACACTGAAGGAGGATACGTGCACGGCCACACTGAAGGAGGATACGTGCACGGCCACACTGAAGGAGGATACGTGCACGGCCACACTGAGGGAGGATACGTGCACGGCCACACTGAGGGAGGATGCGCGATTGGGAGAGGTGCCCCGCCCCTTCCCTTCTGCAGCATCTGACGAATTCAGCCGCACGAGCACCGCAGGAGGACAGGACACAGGTCAGTGAGCCGATCGCGATCTACCAGCATTTGCTTTGCCATCGACCTAAAGGGCACCCCTAATCTACACTATATTGTCAAAGGTAAGTGGACCCCCCTCCAAATAATTGATTTCATGTTTCTCCAGTGAAGGGCACTGATAATGCTACAACATACAAGGACATTTTAGACAATTGTGTGCTTTTAACCTTGTGGTAAGAGTTTGGTGACGGCCCTTTTCAGGCCCAGCATGACTGTCCCGTGTATAAAGCCAGCTCCATACAGATAGGGTTTAACCAGTTGGGAGGAACTCAAGTGTCCTGGCCTCAACCCTACCGAACACCTTTGGGATGAATTGGAACGCCGATTGTGAGTCCGGTCTTCTCATCCAACATAACTACCTGACCACAAATTGGAACAAATTCTCAAGGACACCATCCAAAATCTTGTGGAAAGCCTTCCCAGAAGAGTGGAGACCAACTCTATGCTAATGGGGATGGTTTTGGAATGGGATGTCCAACCCAGCTCCATAAAGTCATGGTTAGATCAGTTTGATGTGGAGGCAATCGAGTGGCCTGCAGAGCCCTGACCTCAACCCTACCGAACACCTTTGGGATGAATTGGTTATGATCCAGGTCTTCTCATCCAACATACCTCATAAATGGGCACAACTTCCCACACACCCTCCAAAATCTTATGGAAAGCCTTCCTGAAAGTGGACAGTTCCATCTGTGACGGGGTCCAACCACCATAATGGCCAAAACCTTTAAGCCTGCGTAGATTGGTTAGCATTATAGAGAGTTGTGTTCAGTCCGTTTGAGAAGAGTTGAATTCTACATTGGAGGAGTAAAGCTCAGTCACCACGCGGCACGCAGCACCACGAGGCACGCAGCACCACGAGGCACGCAGCACCGCAAGGCACGCAGTACGGCAAGGCACGCAGTACGGCAAAGCACGCAGCAGCGCGAGGCACGCAGCACCACGAGGCACGCAGCACCACAAGGCACGCAGCACCACGAGGCACGCAGCACCACAAGGCACGCAGCAGCACAAGGCACGCGGCACCACAAGGCACGCGGCACCACAAGGCACGCGGCACCACAAGGCACCACAAGGCACGCGGCACCACAAGGCACGCGGCACCACAAGGCACGCGGCACCACAAGGCACGCGGCACCGCAAGGCACGCGGCACCGCAAGGCACGCAGTACGGCAAGGCACGCAGTACGGCAAAGCACGCAGCAGCGCGAGGCACGCAGCACCACGAGGCACGCAGCACCACAAGGCACGCAGCACCACAAGGCACGCAGCACCACAAGGCACGCAGCACCACAAGGCACGCGGCACCACAAGGCACGCGGCACCACAAGGCACGCGGCACCACAAGGCACGCAGCACCACAAGGCGCGCAGCACCACAAGGCGCGCAGCACCGCGAAAGGTCTGCAACACAAGCCAACATGGCTGCACTCCATTTATAGATAGAATGATACAAAATACACAGGAAACACCTTTTTTTAGTTTTATTTTGAAACATAAACACTCAATAAATGTATTTACATGAAGCTAACCACAGTCACATGTTTACCTAAAAACAAAATCCAAACACAATAGTTTCCCTTTAACAACAGAGCGATGGCAAGCTCTTGGGGTCAACAAAAGCATTTGAAAGTCGGTTGAATATTGTATAGTTTAAAGAAACTCACTGGGACAGACTTCCTGTCTGACCTGACAACGCTTCCTGGAAATCCTAAGCAGTGTTGCCATTTTCTCATGCTGGGCTACAGAACTCCGCCCTCTTATATTATGGAGCTGAGCAGAGGAATAGGTGTATAGCCCAGCCGGGGAGATCTGAACAGGGGTGACAACACTGCTTGGCATTTCAGTGCAGAAAAAAGCCACTGTGTCGTCAGTTAAAAAACAGGAAGTAAGGAGCTGACTGGATTTTGGGCGGGAACAACAGCATTCAAAAGACAACATATGGGGACATATCTCTAAAGCGGCGAATCTGACATTCAGCAAACATTCTCTGCAGGAGAATCTTCCAGGGTCATGCTTTTTTTTTTTAAATGACAGTGATTGAGAATGTATGGTGAAAACCCTAATACATAGACCCTATGGTGAAATGTGAATGTGTTGCAGAGATGTACCGAATGTGGTTTATTTTTTTGCCATGGGGTTTATTTTAAACAATTCACAGGACTATTCACCCTGTGAATAACTGTGAACATTTCTTTTGTGTGAATAATGGCAAAAACGAATGTTCTTTATCTATTTCCATTTCAGGTCAAATGTATTGTGATGTAATACCGCATAATGGCCGCTAGATGGAGCTGAGTATACAGAATGAGTAATCATGTCCTGTGCCCCTCAGCGACCTCTAGTGGCCATAATTCAGTATTACATCCCGATACATTTTACCTCCTGAAAGGAAAATAATTTAAAAGCGTTCCTTTGTGCCATTATTTGAAGAAAATGAACATTCGCAGGGCAGATGGCCCTCTTCTGCCTTACAAATTCTTCTGTCTTCACAAATTTTATGTATTGACTCTGCCCCAGCCACCCCACCTTCCCCGCCTGTGCATGGCACAAGATGCCCCTCGACGGTACACCACGCCAGACCTTCATCCCTGCTGGTGCACCACACCATCCCCCCCTTCCCTTGCCTGCGCACCCCCCCATCTTGCGGTACCACACCAGATGCGCCCCCCGCCCATTTCCACAGTGCACCACACCAGACCCCCACACCACCTTTTTTGCAGTTTTCTCCTTCATGAATTGGAATTGCACTCACCACCATTAGTGTGATCCTTCTATTATTTCTTGATGTATTTCACATTAAACAAAATGAGGGGAATTTATCAAAACTGCAGCAGACAAAATCTGGAGCACATGTGCGCAGCAACCAATCAGCATCCACCTTTCATTTTTAAACCCTTACTGAACAAACTAAAGAGAGAAGCTGATTGGTTGCCATGCACAGCTGCACCAGATTTTGTCGGCTCCAGTTTTGATAAATTCCCTTCAATCCGATTAAAGGAAAACATCGCTTTGAACCATCCCCCCCCTTTCTCCTCCTCTTCCTCTCCCTCCGTCACGATCCAGAAAAGTTTTGCGAGATCCTCCTACTGCTTCTCACACGGCGTGTAAAAGCCCGGCGCAGTTCTTTATCTAAGAGATTGAATCTGTCATTTAAATCTAAATCTTTGTATTTGTTTTTTTAGTTTGGGATTGTAGAAGTGAAACCCCCCGATGTGTTATATCCAAAAATAAAATAATGGCTCTGAATAAAGTGTAACTCCGGGCAAAACAAAAAGAAAATGCCACCTATGACAGCAGCACCGAGACAGCGGCCATTGTTTTCCTGAGTGTCTCCAGTAACAGTTTTATTACTTCTAATCCTTCCAGGAGTTCTGTGATTGGTCCACTTCCTGCGCCAGGCCAAGCTGTCCAGCAAAAAATAAAAAGGGCAGTTACCCGTGTTTTATATGTATGGCTTTATGATGCATTTCCTGGAGCGTGGCTTTAAAGCAGAACTATGAGGGGAGTGAAAATCACTCAGCCTCATAGTTCGAGCCGATGTGTGACAATGAGTCTGTCACACGTCGGCTCAGTAGATCGGGAAGTGAGCGAACACATACCAGCGCTCGCTCACTTCTCAATCTATCCCTGCAGAGAGCAGTGACTGTCACGCACGGCTCCCTGCAGGGATTCCCCCCTCCGATCCAGGTGTCACTCACGCAGCTGGGTGGATCTCAACTAAGTGCTCTCTGGCATCCCACCCAGCTCCTGCCAATCAGCGGCGCCAGTGAGCCGGGTGAAATACCAGACAGAGCCGCTGACTGCGCGGCCCGGCGTCTGCTGGGATCCTACACTTACCCCCCTCCGCTGGACGACAAGTAAACTTGTGAGTGACCATTCCCTATCAGCAACCCCCCCCCCAAATGAAATTGCTGCAGGTAATTACCATAGCATGTCCATCTAAGACTGCTCCTGTCCACAGGGTCAATAAGCAAATTGGTGATGACTCTGCTGCACAATTTCACTGCAGAAGCGTTGCCACCCTGTTACAGGAAGTTGAAACATACCAGATCCCCTGGCAGGATCAACAGGCAATTATAGTCGGTCTCAGGAATTATACTAGGTTTTAGGAAGTGGGAAAAATAACAGACCTGGCAGGGTCAATAGGTAATAAAAGTATGTTACAGGAAGTGGAAACAGAACAGATCTCCTGGCAGGATCAACAGGTAATAAACGTAGGTTTTCGGGAATTCGAAAACATATCTCCTGGCAGGATCACTATGTTACAGGAAGTGGAAACATACCAGATCTCATGACAGGATCAACGAATAGAAGTATGCTTACAGGGGGGACTCAGAACCACAAAGGCTGCTGTGTTGGTACTCCGGGCCGTATGCATGTATTCTGGCAGTATCTCTTTGTCCCGGGAGCCCCAGCCTCCAGGCGGCCTGATCAAATGAATGACATGCTGTGACTGTGCGCAGGTAGAGGTGGATATACGCGAATCCGAGCGGCTACAGGTGTACTGGGCTCTATGCGCACCCCCAAAAATACAGCCATAGTACGTGCATACCGCCCCCCTTTGCCATCCGGTGCACGAGCCTCTCTAAATGTTGCTGGCAGACTGCAGCATAGATGTCATGTACACTTCATACCCATAATGCATTGCTTCAGTAACCGTCTAGTGTGGAGTGACAAATGGCGCTGTACTAGATAAAGGGGAGATGGGAGCATACTGATGGAAAACCTGGGTGCAGCCTAATACAAAAATGAGGACGGAATCCCAAATTATAAAAAATGTTTACGGGGAAAAGGGGGAGGAGTCGAGGTTACCGTCAGCTACTCACACCGCATGGATCAGTGACTTCCTTACTCCGAGGAGTTACATTTTAAGACTACCATATACATATATTTTTTTTTTTTGAAGTCTTATATATAAATATATATACAC